GAGGTCCTGACGTCCATGACCACCCCCAATCTAACCGGCCAGTTCTTCTTTCCAATACAGATGGCAGCTCAGAGGCAGCGCGCCCTGGCCATCATGTGCCGTGTGTATGTGGGCTCCATATACTATGAACTTGGAGAAGATACCATTCGTCAGGCCTTTGCCCCCTTTGGACCCATAAAAAGCATTGATATGTCCTGGGACTCTGTTACGATGAAACACAAGGTTGGTTGGTTAACAGCCCTCGAGCGATGTGGGTTTTCTTCTCTCCAAGGCCTTCCCGAACGTATCCAGGAGTGGAAGGAGTCTTTATCCTTGTAGAGAACAGGCTGCTTTTAGCACGCTGAGACAAACGTGTGTAGCTGCCTGCTCTACGGAGCAGGGTTCTGCAGTGGGAGCCAGGCGTGCACGGAAGGTGCCGAGCAGCTGGCAGTCCTGTGCGCAGTGGCCTTTTGCTGTTAGGCCTCCAAGTACGAGGCTCTGGAAGCAGGTAGCTTTGCGTCAGTACTTCTGCATACAATTTTCTGCTTTAATAAAAAGCTGCTTTAAGGGAACATCTTCTGGGGCCACAACAGTAGGAGTCTGGTACGTGGGAAGTCTTGGCTGCGTTAGCTGGGCACTACATTCAAGACGAGACGCAGCTGGTGTGATTCAACGCGCGTATCCTTCTGTCCTAGGGTTTTGCTTTTGTGGAATACGAGGTGCCTGAAGCCGCTCAGCTGGCCTTGGAGCAGATGAATTCTGTCATGCTGGGGGGAAGAAATATAAAGGTGAGTAACCAGCATGCTCTGAAAATTCGTGGTTGTCTTTACTGTGAATAATGGTTTTGTGCCCAGAAATGCTTCTCGCAGCACTGTAATGTGGAAGATAACCTAAAGTCTGTTCCCTGGTAGACGTTGGTATTCAACCCATTGAGTACATGGTGGCTCGGAGTCCCTTCCTCTCAGAGGAGAAACCCCCAGCATGCTGACAAAACCTAGAAGCTCATTTCCTTCTGCCCACACATAGAATTGAAGTTCTTCGAGGACAAAACAAAGGCAATCCTTGATATTTTAACACGTCCCTCTTATATTGTACCTGTGTGGATGGTAGATAAGTAGCATCAGACTCTTGTGCCTGTCAGTAGGGCAAGGGACTTCAAACAGAGGTCCACCCTTGCCATAGAAAAAGGAGGCATTCAGCACAAACAGAAAGGAACAGAGAATTGGAGCTGTGTGTGTTCAGGCTGTAAGAGGGGACCTTGCAACGGTGAAAGTCTGGGGATTGAAGCTGAGGGGACACACAAGCATTTTCTGCAAAGTGTTTTATATCTTGCATTTATATCTCTGGTACGCTCTGCGTATCTGCAGTGTCTGGGTTCCGGGGGGGGTTAGGAGCCCTCAAAGGCACATAGAAGCATTGTGTTTCGCTTTCAGAATCGTTTTCAGTTCCTGGAAGTTGGTCTTTGGCAGCTCGGGGAATGTTAATGGGGGAGACATGGTGGAGCAGGGGGCAGAGTCTGTCCCGGCTCTCGGCGCTGTAGCGCAGGTTGTATCCCAGAGCAGAGCAAACTGTTGCCCTTTGCCAATTATGGCCTTATGAGGCGTTACTGGGTCTGAAAAGGCAGTCAGGTGGCCGAGTGCTTGTCTGCTGTCACTCTTGGGGAGTCACGCTGCTGTTCTTCAGAGTGCTTAATGGACTGTTCGCTGTGTTCCCTGCAGGTTGGGAGACCCAGCAATATAGGTCAGGCACAACCGATTATAGACCAGCTAGCAGAAGAGGCGCGGGCGTTCAACCGCATCTATGTGGCATCCGTTCATCAGGACCTTTCAGATGATGACATCAAGAGTGTGTTTGAGGCCTTTGGGAAGATTAAATCCTGCACGCTAGCCAGGGATCCGACGACAGGAAAACACAAAGGCTATGGTTTCATTGGTAAAATGGCTGTCTGGTGTTTGATGTGGGGTAGAGAGTGTGATCGGGAGCAGCCTCATCTTTTTTAACTTGAGTGGAAGAACTGTGTTAAGCAATGGGATAGAAATAAATTTGGAGCAGATCTGTGCCTGAACTTAGAGATATAATTAATAGCCAGCTATTTTTACTCACTGTTATATAGGTTGAGAGATCTTGCTATGCTGACTGCTCTCGACAATGCTTGAGTGATCAGAGGGGTGGGATGAGGCGTGAGCTAGGCACTGAGGGTCTTCTCACTGGAACGATAAGCAGTCCGTTTTTGCGAGTACAAACCACAATTGTGTGATGAGAGAGTGGCTGGGTTTAGGAGTAAAAAGGATCACTTATAAACGTTCCTCTTTCTCCATGCAGAATATGAGAAAGCACAGTCTTCCCAAGACGCCGTTTCCTCTATGAACCTCTTCGACCTTGGGGGTCAGTATCTCCGAGTTGGTAAAGCTGTGACTCCTCCAATGCCTCTCCTGACGCCTGCAACGCCAGGAGGATTACCTCCAGCAGCGGCTGTCGCTGCAGCGGCTGCTACAGCAAAGATCACAGCACAGGTGAGGCATGGGCTGGTGTGACTCAACCGTGGATGATTGAGTGTGGATGACTGTTGTGACCCTGCTGGAAACAAGCCTTGCAGACTGTTCCAGCCAGCCGTGTTCCCTGGTTCGAATGACAGCCTTTGGCCCAGGTCATGCTCTGTGCCCAGGCCTTCACGTGCGGAAGCTTGTGAGGATCAGAGACACCAGCATTTTGGAACGGAGCCTGGCGCAGCTGATCAGGACTTTATTTGAAAAAATGGTGGGGGAAGGTCGGGGTGGGGGATTCCTTGCCTGGATAGGCAAACCAATGGTTAGGGAAAAGTTTATAGAGGAGGCTAAAAGAATGCATGAAAGTACATGAAAGGGGCGGGCTAACGAGGGCGGTGATAGTCGTGTGAGCAGTGCTCTCTGTTGAAAGCCTCTGCCTGTTCAGTAAGGCAGACGAGGGCTGTAATGGCTGTAGGCTGTTCAGAAACTGGGAAATGCAGTGAATTGGGTGTTGGTGCAGGCATCTGAGGGTACTCTAATTTAGTTTGCTTGAAGTGACAGAAGCGCCTGGCTGTGGTCAGTAGGCACTGATGGAGGAGGATTGCCTTTCAAAGCAAGCCCCTGTGTCTGTGTCCCTCGTCCTTGCCGTGGGCAGCAGAATCTCCCTCTGCGTTGCCGTAGCCCATGAAAGAAGCAAGTTCCAGCACTGTTTGGCTCTTGGATTCTCTCAAACAAAAAAAATTGCTGAGGTGTGCAGCCTAGATGTGCTGCTCATCAGCTGACTGGCCTTAATCTTGTGAACAGCTCTTTTTTTTTTTTTTTTTTTTTTTTTTTTTTTGAAAATACTTCTCTGAATCACAAGGTAAAGGCAGAAGTTGGGGGAGCTGCCACTAATGTGAAACTCTCAGGTGGTTTGCATGTCCCCACCAAAAAGTCTGCAAGTCTGGGAACCTCCACAGTCAGCTAAGGGAGGAGGTTGAGGCATGGCTAGAAGAATGACTTGGATCAAAATTGCTTTGGGAAAGAACTGCTAACTGTTTGCTTCAGCGAACTGGTAGAGATCTGTTACAGACGTGGATAAATCTTGCTGTTTCTGCCACGTACTGCAGGATTTATCACTGTGAGGAAAATTCAAAATCCCAAAGATAGAAAGAAAAAAGATTCCGAAAGACCTCAGAGATACTCGGCAGTCTCCTTGCCTTTGCTTAGACGTGGCGCGGGTCTGGGTAACCTGTCTGATTTGTCACGCGTGTCGTAGACGACTGAGGAAAAGTGAGGACAGCTGCAGAAGCCAGTGTCTCTCATTTGCACTCCTGGAGTAGTTCTTCTGTGGAACCCCTTATTTTAAATAAGGACATAGGCAGTCGCAGTCTGAGGGCCTTAATTTAACAATATTTTTTAAACACAAGTGAATCAGTAAACTCAGCGAAGCTAAAGAAGTCATGGGCATGAGAGAAACTTAAGTTGGAGATGTGACTTGGATCCTAAATCAGAGCTGCAGCTTTAGCCTGGAATTAGCATGCCAGCCGAGGACGGAGGAGGGGTGTCTGCACTTAGACTGTGAAGAGAGAGAGGTGCTGAGTAGCAAAGACAGTGTCTTGACAGTGACAGTAAAAAAAAGTCAGTCTTGCAAAAGAAGTTAAGGAATTAAAGCAATTACAGAAAGTTTCTTCAGCCGTTTAAGTGAAAAGTGGCGGCAGCTCATGACCAGTGTGGTCAAAAATTGTGGTGGTCTGTTCCAGCACTGAATGCCTACGTAAGTATTCTTCCCCTTCGTTAGAAGCACAGGGCAGACGAGCTAATGATGCACATACTGATCCTAGGTGGGTGTAAAGCTCGGAGTTTGTCACGTGCTGGTGTACACTTAATAGTTTGTGGGTTTTGTGATGAGTCTGTCGTGTCGGGGCTGTTGCCGTGTGCCTGAAGAACAGCAAACACGATCCTTGCATTTCAGGTGTCATGGAAAACTGGCGTCTGCAGGCTTGGTCCTCGCCCCAGTGGTAGGGAAAGATAGAAAATGAGCTTTGAAGGAAGGACAACGTTTCCAAAAGAAACAGATACGCAGAATGTTTGTGTGTTTGGGGAAATACCCCTGGTGGATGAACATAACTTTCTTCGATAAGGTTACTGTTACACTTTGATAGGAAAAAAAATTGAAGGATATCCTATCAACAGTTCAGGAGTTGGTGGAGACCCCCATGAGAAGCTGTTAGACAAGACCAACACTGTTACAATGAATTTTGAGATGCGCAGGCGAGCGAGGAGGTGGAGACGAGCTGTGCTGGAAATGACTGACCCTTTGCTCTGCTGGTGAAGTTACAGACAGGTCTTGCTCCATCTCCAGTAAAAATGTTAGTGGCCTTGCTCTGGGCATTAGGAGGAGAGTACTGATGGAATTAGTTGGCAACACAGAGATGAGATGCATTGTTAATGGAGAGGAGAACTGGCATATCGCAGCAGGCTGGAGTAAGAAATAGATGCAGCGTTTAGTAGAGTACGAGATACTGCGTTTAAGGAGCTAAACCTTAGGATTTTTTGCTCTGTGGTGTCAGGGCTTGTAGGAGCCCCATGAAAACAAGGAAGAGAAGGATCTGGGTACCTAAATCATGAGTAGAACAGCTTGGAAGGCAACAAAAAAATAAATTGAGATCCTAGGGTGTATTTTGGGCACATTGTTTTCACTAGCTTTATGAAAGTGTTTTGTCATTTAACCAGGTGTACATCTCAAATGTTGTTTGAATTCTGGTCATCTAGAGTCAGGATGTTTGTTTGGGTTAATAGAAGGTGTACAGCAGTAGTGCAGTTATGGGGAGAACTGGAAAACCTGATATGCAGGAAGAAACTAGAAAAGTTTGTCTTGGTATAACTGCGGACTGAAAGGTGCATCAGACTTTTGCTCAGATACAGTCTGTATAGAGGCACGTGGGTAACGGGATGGGAGAAGGGGCGCAGACAATGCTGACAATGGGAAGTGGTTATAAAAGGTTTCAGTTATCGAGGCTGGAAGTTTGAAGAAAGTTTTCAGTCATTGAAAGCAGTGAAGTTCACTGGGGTCTTGGCAGTAGAAATGGTGGTGGCAAAAGTTAGTTCTGTGATTCTCTGGTCAAGAAGTGTCCTGGTGGGATAATTGTTTGCCGTGGCTGTGATCATGAAGGCCAGTTTCAGTGCTGTCTGTGCCTAAAGGGTGAAGACGAGACAGATAGAATTTTTGGTTTAAACTGATCTAAAAGTGTGCGGCTTTTGGAAACAGCAGTACGGTGCTCTCCCCGGCCGTGTCCCTTCTGCTTGCAGTAGTGTGTTTGACTACCGTGTGCCTTGAGTCAGACCAGGATTAACCTTCCACCAGATCACGGAGGAAAAACTGAAGCCTTGAGTTCCCTCTCCTGGTTTGCCACATGGCCCCGGAGCCCTGGCCACCAGAGGGGGTGGGATGGGAGGTCCCGTCGGCCACCTTACATGGGTCACATTCCTTACCATCAGTTAAAAGCTTGATTTGTGTAGAAGGCGGAAACAAGTGGAGATTCCTCTTGCTCTGGAATTGCCTGCATCTGTCAAACCACGTATTGAAGCCCTTGGTGTCTTCCCTTCGGTAACTGACCCAGCAGCTGGAAGGGGTGGGTGAAATTGGAGCTGCAAGAGAACGCTTTCTTCCAAGGCTTGGTGTCTTGTAGTTTCTGCATGTCTCTGGTGGGCTGGGTGGCACTTTTTTTTTGTTTGTTTACAGTAGCCCTGGAGAGCTGTCATCCTCAGGGTCTATATATTGGGCATTTCTCAGGTGTGGAAAAGCGGAGCGTCAGCTGAACGCACACATAGTATGACCCCTTGATGCAGAATTGACACTTGAGGGTTTTTTTGTTGTTGTTTGTTTTTTCTTGCAGGAAGCAGTGGCAGGAGCCGCGGTTCTTGGCACCTTGGCAACCCCTGGGCTGGTCTCCCCAGCGCTGACTCTGGCCCAGCCCTTAGGGGCATTGCCCCAGGCCGTAATGGCAGCACAAGCACCTGGAGTCATTACAGGTACGTTGGCTCTTCATTTTGTCACTTGTGTACCTGCTGCAAAGCTGGGGTCACAACTGAAGAGAGGTTAAAGCTGGAAACCTCCTCCCTGCCCTGCTTTGCCAAGAACATTTTTTATTGGTGCATTTTTTTGTGTATAACAGGTATGGCAGGGACATGAACTGCGCGGCAGGGATGCACGGCACTGAGTGAAGATGTGGGTAATTGTCACTCCGTGCAAAGTCCTGCACTGGGCGCGTACGTGGTGCCTGTATTGAGCGCTGCTGTCCTGTGTACTCACCGGGGTGCTGCTTGCGTCTCCCTGGCCGTTGGCAGAGCAGAGCAAATAAAACATCTGGGTTCTGTGACCCTCTTTATCGCTGGCTGGTGTGTGCCCAAATGTTGCAGAGCGCCAGTTCTTTTCTTCATGCTAAGGAGTTTGTACACTTGCAGGTGTAACCCCCGCCCGACCTCCCATTCCGGTCACCATTCCACAAGTGGGGGTTGTGAATCCGATCCTGGCCAGTCCCCCAGCATTGGGCTTGATGGAGGTCAAAAAGGAGAAGGAAGAAGAGGAGGTCTTCCAGGAGTCAGAGAGGCCAGAGATGCTGAGCGAACAGGAGCACATGAGCATATCTGGCAGCAGCGCCCGTCATATGGTGATGCAGAAGTTGCTCCGTAAGCAGGAGGTGAGCGCGGCCTGACCGCCCCGAGCTGGTTCCAGCTGTCAGCAGACGAGACCGCCACGTTTAGACCTGGCGTGGCGTGGCTGTGCGGTGCTGTGCGCGGTACGGGCTCCCTGCCGCGCGCGCCGTAGGGACCCCACAGAGCTCGTGTGGGGCTGCGCAGGCTTGTGCGCTGCTTGTGATGGTTCTCACTCCGCCTCGGCGTTTCTCTGAGGGTTCAGAGCAGTCACTAGGCCAGACGAGGCTTGGCTAGGAGGTGTCTCTGATTAAACTGTGTGTTTACTTAGCGTGAGTAAAGCAAACCATGGTGGCCTTTTGGCTTGTCATTAAAGAGGTGAGACTGGCACGTGGTTGGGGGCAATCTGGTCCAAACTATTGAGTCCACCTTTTCCCCACAACCTTTTACTGTAGGATGAAGTTCTGAGATGTTCATAAAACAAAATTTTACAGAAGTTACCATGAGAGGAAGGGCAAGGATGAAGCATAGAAAAAGTCAGAACATTAAACAGCATGATGGATTCATACGTTTGGGGGTTTTTTGGGGGGGCAGGTGTCAAAGGATCTGTACTGATGAGCTCATCAGGCTTCTTGTTTGAGCATGACCAGAGGTTTGTTCCTGAGCGCGATTTGGTTTCCTAGATGACAGGCAGATTTCTGGGGCTTCATCACTGATTTGATAGTGTTTCTTCTCTGTTTGCCAAATAGGGACAGTGCTGACATGCATTTCGTAAGGGAGGACGCAAATGAGTTAGCTAGTGAGCGCTCTTCGCTGTCAGAGGGTCCATCAATTTAAATGCATCTTGGAGCTTGTGACTTAGCATTCACTTTTCCTCTGTCACAACCACCTTTCCCAAAGAGTCCAATTTGTTTGGCGTACTTGCTTGAAGAAAGTTTAGTGGCGTTGGAAAGGAGTCTTAAACTAGACCCTTCTCAAAGCTGCTTAGCGTTCTCGGCCTGCAAGTGCCCTTCTGTTTCCGCTGCTCTTTCAGGAGGCCCTTGGAGGCGGTTGTACAGACTGCGAGCGAGAGCTGGAACCAGTATCTTAACATTGCGCTGAGCCTGAAGTGCCGTCCCTGCTGGCTGTGGGGCTGGGCAGGGCCAGAGGTGGAGGGAGGCGTGTGGTAGAGCTGGGTGTCGTGCACAAAAACAGGGGCTGCCCAGAGAGGTCGTGGAGCCTCCGCCCTTGGAGATGCTCAGAAGTCATCTGGACACGGTCCTGGCAACTCTGGGTGGCCCTGCTTAAGCAGGGGAGCTCAGGCCAGGTGACCTCCATAGGTCCCTTCCAGCCCCGCCATTCGTGGCACAGAGAGGGGCTCAGTGGGGAGGATACATACGGGAGGTGTGTTGCAGGTGCTCTGACAGACTCGTGTGTTGTTATCCCCTGAAATGAAAGTACCCAGTCAACAATCAGTTGTCAGAGGTATAGAAGACCTGGTTAATCCTTCTACTTTATTTAGAGATGAGGAAAAATGGAAGTAAAAACCCCACAAACCAAAAAAAAAAACCCAAACAAACCCCACAATGGTGTAGTTGAAGGTAACAAAGCAAAAAATAACTGGATAACAACAGCACAAGAAAAACTGGAGAGGTCTCGAGGTCAGTTGGCTTCAAGGATGTGCCTAAGAAAAGCCCGAGATGGCACACGGCTTTCCAGACTGAGGCCAGCCACAATATCGGTGGCAGCAAATGGGGTTTGTTCCTGCTGTGGGTGCCTGGGAGGAAAATTTACTCATTTATCCCTGAGAACCTGGGACATCACTGGTTTCATGGAATGTGCTCGTAGCGACACAGCACTGGGATATCTGGTGGTACTTGGGCCTGCTGCATAGTTGGACGTGGCTTTGCAAATTTAATCTCGGTGTCTCTTGGGTGTTTTAATTCACTTGTCACTTCTCTCCGCAGTCCACTGTGATGGTGCTTCGCAACATGGTGGATCCAAAGGACATTGATGACGACCTGGAGGGAGAAGTGACAGAAGAATGTGGCAAATTTGGGGCTGTAAACAGGGTCATCATCTACCAGGAGAAGCAAGGAGAAGAGGAGGATGCAGAGATCATCGTCAAGATCTTTGTGGAGTTCTCCATGGCCTCAGAGACTCACAAGGCCATTCAGGCTCTGAATGGGCGCTGGTTTGCAGGAAGAAAGGTGGTAGCAGAGGTGTATGACCAGGAGAGATTTGATAACAGCGACCTGTCAGCATGAACTCTACTCGAAAGACTTTGCCCCTGCCTCCTCTGCTTGTCTGGGGTTTTTTTAGCCATGTGTAAAGAACGCTCCAGGGTGGGCACGGATCTCTGTGATGTACTTGTAGTTTGGATAAAAGCGCAAAGAAAAGTGGTGTGCATCTGTGTGTGTGTTAAGGGGCTGACGCCTCGTCAGCCCAGCCTGGCCTGGGTCTGGCCCCGTCCGCCCAGAAGAGCGGGGCCAGAGCCTGAAGAGGGGTTGCTGCTTGGGCTCCCGCCTCACGCGGTGGTCCCTTCAGAAGCACCCGGGTCAAGAGCCCGCTGCACTTTTAGGGGCTGGAATAGCAGCTTTCTTCAGAGATGGGCCATAAATGGCTGGAGTGGAGGAGGGGGTCTCTTCGTAAGGTATCTCAGCAGCAGCGTTGAGTGCTGCCGTATTAACAACGAGGAGGGTGGCTTGGGTGGTGCTGGGAGGGCGCCCTCCTCCCGAGAACCTGCGCGTTCAGCTTGGACCCGAATGTGAGTCGGAGCCAGCTGAGCCTTTTTGGAGTGTTCACATCGCTGTCTGTTCCGGTACCATCATTTGGACCTCGCAGTTGGCTTGCGGGGTCCGCGTTGGCCTGGCTGGTCCCCCTTAATGTGCCAAAACACGAGGAGCGAGTCAGGCCGCGGTGCCACAGCCGGGCTGGGGGTGCGCGGCGCTGGTCTGTGGTGGCACCTCACGTGCGTTTGAGAGAAGCGACGTGCGTTTATGAGAGAAACATCTCGCCCTCGTGCTGCAGACGGTGACGTGGAACACATGCCTCGCCTGAAGGGGAAGTTTGGGGTTGGGGTGTTGGGTTTTTTTGGGGTGGTTTGTTTTTTTTTTTGCTGAAAGCTCAAAGATTTAGTAATATTTGCAAAGCTTAAATGAATTTATTTTAGTAATCTGTCTAGCTAATGAGTAAGTACAGAATTAGCTCACGTTAATTATTTTAAATATTTTAAGTATGTAAGTAAGGGGCTATCGCTTGTTAAGCATAACTGGTGCACAGCACAGATCTGAAGAAAATAATTGTTTTAGCTTAGAAATTCCAGTAAAGGAAGAGAGATCTCAAAGGCACTTCAGGAGGGAGTTCAGAGTTGAGCCTGCAGCTGTGGGTTGCTTCTAAGCTTGGAGATGTTTTTAAAATTAAATTTTTGTATTTTGTTGCAAACACTTGAACCCTTCTTCTGTGGTGGGTTAGAAATTTGTATTTGCAGTTTATTTATGATTAATTTATGTTTACTTCTTTTTACACTACTACTGCCTGCTAACTTAACCCTTCTTCCCTGTTTTTACACCCATTCCAGTTAATAGCCAGCCTGCCTTGTGTTTTGATAGGCAAAGGTTCTTGGGCTCAGCTGGTTGTCTGCCCTAGCAGCCCTTCTTTGCGTTTCTTAGCTTGAATTTCCTTTTCCTGAAAGCAGTTGACTGGACCTGCTGAATATATTGTATATCGGCATTTGTCCTTTTTATCTGTGCTGGGAAGGCATCGTCCGGTGCCACCCATGGTCCCCACTGGCCTCTCGCAGCCACGGCATACTGGTAGCTTGCAGGTGCCCCAGTTTTGCCATGCAGCACAGCTGCTTTGCTGCTTTTGTTTATGATGCAGAAAATTCACTGGTTTTAATTGTTCCAGGCTTTATTATTCCTACTAAAGAAAACCAAAAGACCACCTCCATGACTTAGGTGGGCTGTCTAGCTTCCGTTTTCTGCTGTTTGCTCCCGTTCCGTTGTCTGGATTTAGGAGTATAAAGGCTGCGCTGGAAGTTTCCTTGTGGTGTTGATGCTTTAAAAACCCGAAGTGGATAAAAGTTGATGCAAGGGGAGAGCACGGAGTAAAGAATGACAGCCCAAGTGGTGATCAGCAAGTGTTTGTGCATGATTAGTCTTACCTGGCCAACAAGATGATATTTTACAAAAGTAACTTCATAAATGTCTTGACAGGTCAAACGTCTGACAAGAGATCATCTGTCTTGGCTTCTGTGTGGCCTTTGACAGTCCTCCACAACGTCCCTGTAATTAAGTTGGAGAGATGTGGGTTTGGTGGGTGAACTGTTCGATGGATAAGGAACTGGCTGGATGTCCACATACAGGGAGCTGCAGTCGACAGCTCCGTGCCAGAGCAGAGATCACTAACGAGTGACGTCCCTCGGGGGCCCATGCTGGGACTGGCACTGTACAATATTTTTATTAATGACATGGAGAGTGGGATTGATGCACCCCCAGCCAGTCTGCAGATCACACCAAGCCGAGTGATGCAGCTGATCTGCTCGAGGAACAGGATGCCATCCAGAGGGACCTTGAAAGGCTTGGGGAGTGGGCCCATGTGAACCTCATGAGGCTCAACAAGGCCAAGTGCAGGGTCCCGCACCTGGGTCGGGGCAACCTCTGATATCAGTATGGTCTGGGGGATGAAGGGGTTGAGAGGA